CGACCCTCTCCTGGACAAGCTCTCCTATGTGCTCCTTCATCCTGACACAATCCTCTTCTACGGATACCACTTCTTCCTTTACATTGCCCCTTCCTCTAGGGTGCCGGCTCTCACACTGCCCCTTTCCTGGACACTGCTCCCTCCTCCTGGGAACCCCCGCTGCTCCCACATGCCCCTTCACCCTGGTGCTGCCTCCTCCAGGCACACTACCTGTTTCCCGGACACTGGCCCTTCCCCCCTCACACTATCTCTGACACTGCCCATCCACCTGTGCTCACCCCACCCACTGCTCTATCCTTCGGACCCTTACAGAGAACGCAGAGCGCAGAGCGCCAGCAGGCCGTTCCCCCTTGGCGGCTAGACGTGAGCAGCTACTCGGATTTCTCCTTGGGCCCTGCCAGGGAGAAGCGACCTCTGTCCCCCCACGCCCGACTCCCAGGCACCTAGACCTCCCTTCCCTCTGGCCTCACCCCTTCCCATTCCCTCTCCACCTCCACCCCCGCACAAGCCGAAGGCCAAGTTGCTCCAAGTGCACCTACCCTCGGGGAGCCGCGAAGAAGGCAAAGAGAAAGGAAGGGGATGAGAGAGACCGAGGGTCCCAGTTCCAAGCACCCCCCCTTCTGGGCCTAGCGTCCCCCTCCGAGTCCCCCCAGCTTTGTTTCTCACCCCCGACGGAGTGGAGGGGCCCTGCCAGGCCAGTCTGAGCCCTTGGCCCCAGCGGAGAAGCAAGAGAGGACGCCGCTCCTGAGGGATTGGGCCAGAAAGTCTGATTTAGACGGCTCGGCAGCCCCCGACCCCAGGCCCTACAGAGCCCGGGCGAGTCCCGCCCCTCCCGGCCGGGCGCGGAGAGCCATAGACCCCGCCCGGCCCCTCCACGTGCCAGTGGACCCGTCCCCGCCCTGGCCCGGTCGCCGCTCTCAACCACCCGCCTCGGCAGAGACTGGGTCCGGGCTCACGCGTTCCAAGCGCCCCCTGCCGCCCCTCCCGAGCCCGGGAGGCGGCCCCAACGCGGACCCCGGCCGCGTTGGGCCGGCTCCCTTAGATGGGCCGGCGGGCGGAGCAGCACGGAGGGCACCGCCCTCGGCCCGCCCGCCGAGGAGGGGACGAGAGCGGGAGGCTGCGCCAGCGGCGCCCGCCCGGGGCCCGCCGCTCTCTGCACTCGGCCGCCCAGGCTACGGGGACAGGACGGGTGTGGGCGCGGGCTCTCCGGGCCGGGAGGCGAGTCCGGGCCAGAGCCCGAGCCGCGGCGGGAGGCCAGAGGGCTGTGAGCGGAGATGGCGGCGGCGGCGGGGGCGGCGGCGGCGGAGGAAGGGATGGAGCCACGGGCGCTGCAGTATGAGCAGACCCTGGTAAGTGAAGCCAGCAGAGCCCTGAGGAGTGTGCTCCTGGACCGCTGCTCCTGGTTACCCGTGGAAGCGCGAGGACGGGGACGGGGGCGTTGGGGGGGGGCTACCCTAACCCCGCCCCAGCCCTCTGAGCTGGGGAAACTGAGGCTCGAGGGCCTGAGAGCCTGGAGCGCTAAAGGGTGGAACGCTGCATGCAGGTTTCTGGCTGAGGCTGGGGGCCTGCAGACGACAAGGACTTCAGGTGCCTGTTCCAGGTGTCCTTCCCTTTACTCCCCCCACCAACTTTTCTTTGCTCCTCCCCACTGCCACTTGGGTCCAAGTCTCAGCACCCTACTACCCCTCCCCAGCACCACTCACATGCTTGAACTTTCTCTTTCTGCCCTGAGTTTCCACCATCTGAGACGTTCCTTCTGTCTCCACTATGTGTATGGCACTGCTAGGAAGATGATCAGACCCAAACCCAGCTCCGGCCCTTAACCCCTGGGAGCTGGCAATCCAGCACTAGCAGGAACCCCTCAGTGGATTCTCTGGAAAAATGTGGCCTGCCACCCTGGGGCACAGGAGCCTTACGGGAGGATGGGTCAAGCAGGAGTTGGGACCTTTGCTCATCTGACCCTGGGTGTCCAGCCCCACCCCCACCCCAGGGCTGTCCCTCAGTGTCATTAGAAGCAGGGGTCCTGGGGATCTGCGCCGACTCACAGCCACCACTGCAACTTAGTGTTTGAGAAACCTTTTGCCTCTGCTTGTGTCACTGGGGTGGGGGACCCAAACTCTAGGGAAGGGAGTGGGCCTTGTAACTCTTTTTTATCAGCGTGGGCCCGAATTTGCCCAGGAAGGAGGCAGGGAAGGAACTTCTCCAGGAGAAGGGGGCCCGGGCTGTATCTGAGGCTAGGAGGTGCCCAGTTACAAGAAAGAGTGACTGCATGAAACACGATGACAGGGAGAGGTGGCAAAGGTGAGGGTGGAGCGAGGGCAGAGGGGTTAGCCGCTGCACAGGGTGGGATGTGTCTGTCAGTCTGCGTGGGACGCTGGTCTAGCAAGCCAGGCACCAGCTGCTTCTCCATCTCCTTCGCCCGGTCTCTATCTCTGGAGTGAGTTCTCAGGGTCAAGCTCTCTCCCTGGCACTCTCTGCTCCAGCCTCTCCCTCTTGTCCTTCCGATCCCTTTGTCTTTCTGTCACTCACTCACCTCCCCCTCCTGCGCTGTCTGCCTCTTTATTACTCTACTCTCTCTTTTCCTCCTCCTTTCTTCCCCTCTGGTTTCCTTCTCTCTCTTCTCTGCCCTTTCCCCTGGACTCTCTTTTCCCCCTCTTTCTCCTCTCGCTGGTTCCCTCTCGTCCCTTTCCTGCGCTCTAGCTCTCTCTCTCCCCCCCCCCCCCCCCACCCCCCCCCAGCCCCAACAGGAGTCCTTTGTGTCCCGAAGCTCTGCGGGTGGCAGCCGGAATCTACTCCTCCCTGCCCCCCAACACACACCCAGCTTGGCAGGTCTAGCCACTGCTCAGCCACTCTCGGATCCCATCACCCCAGCATTCACGGTCACACTCCAGCCATCAGCTTCTGCTATCCCCCAACCCACCACTGGTCTCAGGGCAGCTCCAGAATGGGGCTGAGGCCACCAAGCACTCTCTCCCCATCCAGAGAGGCTTTCCACTCCCAGCTGGGCTGGCAGGCTGGTGGGGGGTGGGTGTGGAGAATGGGGACACGGGGATTAGGGTGGGTGGGAGGGTGCAGCTGAGTCGGTTCCAAGCCAGAGGCCCAGCAGGAACGTGATAAGGATTGGGGCCCCGCCTGTTCCTAGGCCCAATGCAGCTGCCCCCGGTTCCATGAGGCCCTTATTGTTACCCATATGCCCTTGACCATCCCCTATTCTCTGACCTTCCCTCCTCCCACTTGCAGACTGCCGTAGGTTTTTCCATCTTTTCCTCCTCTGGGGCCTTCCCTCCCACTCCTCCTCAGTGCTCCATGCCTCCCCAGGCTTGTGAGAAGGGGACCGATTATTCTACCACCCCCAGAGCTGTGTCCCTGTACCATGGCTGTCCCCATCACTCCAGCCAGGACAGCCCCCACGATCTGCAGTGTGCATTGTTCCCACACCCCAAGCCCAAGTGGGAAGTGTGGGTTCAAGAAGGGGTATATAATGTAGGGACTGGGAGAAGGGGAGTTGAGGCCCCAGGAGCCCTCCCTCCATCCCCACTCGGCCCATGTCTGCTGACCCCCATCTTCCCTATTTCTCAGATGTATGGCAGGTATACTCAGGACCTTGGGGCCTTTGCCAAAGAGGAAGCTGCTCGGATCCGTCTGGGAGGGCCTGAGCCCTGGAGGGGTCCACCTTCCCCTCGGGCTGCCCCAGAGCTTCTGGAATACGGACAGAGCCGTTGCACCCGATGCCGTAGTGAGACCTG